ACATATCCAAACACTTGACCGCATCGACCAATTCAGTCATTTTCATGCCCTCTATCTCATTGAATGTCATGTTGTAGGCAGTGATGGGTCTCACGACCGGCACTATTGATAACTCATTAGACTTTTGATGATTTCTATTTGTGACCATAAGTTGCTTATTAACCAAAGATTTAAGGGAAGTGTTGTCGCCTGAAGAAGTGGTTGACTCCTGTGATGAGCAACTGGTGGTCAACAAGTCATCCAATTCTGGACTCTTCTTGGCTCTAGTTTTCTGTTTCTTATTTTTATTTTCTTGGATCAGATTTCTTCTGTTTTCGAGTTGTTTCGAGGTGTAAATTAATTTCTATACAAAATATGGTTAAATAAATATTATCTAGTTTCAAAATTAACCCTTACATCAGTCATTCCGACGGCAAAGCATTTATCTAAACGACACCTTTTACAGTGCTTTCTATAATTCAAGTCTACTTTACAATTACCACCCAGGTAGCATTTGAAGTAATCCTATTGTCAAATAAATATAAATTTTAATTTAAATCAAAATCAATTACATACTCAATACCTACTTGTGATTTAAGAGCATATTTCCTAAAAAATGATTTACAAGCTTCGCAACTTAGTACATTAAAATGATATCCTAAATAACATAATAATTAGACACATATCTACAATGTAACCAATAACTTGCCATTGGATTTACCACCACACACCACACAAATTTTATTTTCAACGTTTTGCGATGTGTCAGCTGAATTTTGATCCATATTATCCATGTGATAAACTAATTTTTATATTAATTGCTAATAATAATTATTTTCTTCAAGTTCTATTTTGTTTTAAAACTAAATAAATAACAATACTGTAAGTTACTTATCAAGATTGTATACACATTTCTTTAATTAAATGAAAACAATGTAGAATTACAACTAATATTTCTTACTTAGCAACTGATACTGATATTATATCAGTGATATACTGTACATGGTGTGTAGTTATGTAAGTTTAGAATGAAAACAGAATTGTCTTAACATCATAATTAGTATGTTATTGTACAATGCTTTCCAATAATAGATGTATAAGTTAGTATATTGTATACTGTACTAAATAGGGTGCTTAAAGTGCTTAAGATACATTGGATACGTGCAGTTGTACTACGATGTATATAATAGTGGCCAAGTTGATTTTGTCACTTTAATCATTGATGTAAGTATATTTAATTTAAAATGTTCATTTATTGGACATTAAACTTCTATTTTTATAAATAAAAGTACATAATAATGTAGTTATAAATTGTAACTCCAGAGTTAGAAATATCAAAATAAATACTGTATTCAAAATTATATTTCCAATTAATTTGATAAACTATAAATAACCCCGGTTACATATCTCTCTCATCAGAGGGAATCTCGCGTCGATGTTTTCTTCCATACAATTGAGTGCTATTTTGTCATTCAATACATTCAAGTCCTTCAAAGTGGCTAAAAGTCTGAAGAATTTCTCTTTTGACATCATTTCCGATCGATATTTCAATAGCAGATAGCGTTGCAGTAAATACATGTAAATATGTTGTTGAAACCTATTAACATTAATAATTAACACACGATTAGTATTTAATTTACACCATAGAGCTCATTATA